TACGACGTACGTAGTACGACGTAGTACGTACGACGACGTAGAGAGAGAGAGAGAGGAGAGAGAGGAGAGGAGGAGGGAGAGAGAGAGAGAAGNAGAGGAGAGAGAGAGAGAGAGAGGAGATTTAAGGAATCCAGACATTCGAGAACTTCAGGCTATTAATTTTTTATAGAAAAGCACTTCATGCATATCCTGGAGGAGAAACAAAGGCTATCAATCTTTCATAGATAATGGTGTGACATTAAGTACAAGATGGGAGGTAAGGGCAACAAGTTTTGGAGGTTAGGAGGTCAATTTGGTGGTTCAGAGCATAGTTGACTATTTATTGCATGACCACTCCTTTTCAGCTCCGCCGTTTACCTCTAACCAACCATATTTCTAGCATTGGTTAAATTCTAAGCTCAAACAAAGAAAACTAAGTTAACCATTTTCTCTCAAAAAAAAAACAATGACACTAAGGACTACAATTGTATATTTCAAAAATAGAAAGGCTAACAAAAGACTACTTCAAGAATCAAATTGCAAAAGATGGGAAGTGAAATAAATTAAATTTATATAATAAATCAATTGTAATCAGAGAAATGAAATCAGTAAAATAATAAAAATCGTAAAGGGGAAAATTATGTAGAATAAATATAATGAAAACATCACAAATTAGTGTACTTACATATCTTTTTTTTAATGTAAAAATAGCAAAAATAAACAAATTGAAACAGTCAGTTGAACAACGTACTTTGAAGTGAACAGTCAAAAATTCATAACAAACTGACCTCAAATTGTGGGTATGCAAAAATCACTTGTCTTGGTTGAGCACCAGTTTTGCTGCCTATTACTGAACCAGAAAGTAAACTCATAACTAGCTTAAATGAGTTTCGCTTTATAGAAGTACTATTCCTTCCCCATAGAACTATTGGAGACACATTTGGCATGACCCAAGAATCTGATACACCCATAAATGGGGGATCCTATTAGGATCTGATTATGATTACAGGGTTCTTACTTTTGCTGACTCAAACCTACTCATGTATCTTGGTCATTACGTTCTTCTTATAGAGAGTAATAGTTACAGAAAACTGAAGATATTTCATTGGGCTAATTTCCTCTTAAGCTACACTTGGGGCATTTGTGAATACATGCGAGGTATTGCTTGGATTTCTCAGTGATGTAAATGGATCATGTGCCTATTACTACGTGTACAGAGTTGAAATGATAGTGTGTTATGGAGTCTGAATGGCAAGAACCATTGCTTGGGCTCATCACGACCTAGTAGACATCTTTGGTAGGGGTTTAGTTTTCTTTATTGATTCACATTTTAAGTTTTGAGTTTACAACATACATATTTCAAGTGTGTCATGAAGAAAGAGCTGCACTGCAGAATCTGGAAACTCCATCCTAGCTGCGAGATTAGTGTAGTATTCCTTATGTGGCAATGGCAGTTTCAGCTTTGCGACTTGCAGCTCTATCTGTAAAGTTTCTCACAGTGCCTTGAGAACACTTTAGGCCTGAATTTTTACCCCATTTGGGATCATCTAATTAGATGGTAACTCTAGCTAGCTGAATTTGGATCTGTGATCCCTCTGTGGTGATAGAAGATTATGTGCGTTAAGAACCTGTTATTGTGCCATGTTCAGACCATATCTTAAGATCAATTGAAGTAATGAGATTAGACAAAGCATAGAGAAATGCATTGCATTCCAGCATCCAGCAATGCACCCATTTGCTGCTATGCTGCTTTATAGCATTCAAGTGGGTGAGGTTAGGGCACATTTGGGTGCAAGGTATGACTTGTCCCATCAGATCCTTCTGCTCGGCATAAAGGCCAAAAACCTTCTCTGTAGTTCTGCTCTTATGCCTAGAAACAGATAAACATCTAAATGGGGCCAATATGTTGTACATATCAGCCTCACACCAAACACCTAATTATGTGGGCACGGCATATAAAATGGTGATATCCGCAACTTATACATCATCCAAACACGCCTTCAGTGTTTGTTTCTTCCATATGCACAGCATTATCAGTTTTGTGCCCTTCCAATCCATTTGTCAAGTTGCCACAATGCCCTGTACATCAACAAAGAAAAAAGCACACCTACATCATCGCTCATTGATTCGTAAATGGAACTGTTGTGTGACAGATTAGACACTATTAAAACCATAACAAAGATTACACTATCAATGAAATCCAAAAATCAAGTCAAGGCTTGAAAGTGTAATGACCTACTTTCCTCTTCCTAAAGTCATCTCAGATTTCTACAAATTGCTTGCTGATTTGAGACATAATTGCAAAACAGCTCCTAGTGAAATTTCCTGGCAAATAGCATATAATGGGGATACCTTACTATAGATATATCGTTTACTTGCTTGTACATGCAATATAGAATTATAATGCAGTATAGCCAATGTAAACCAAAAATTATACGTCATTTAATACTGAATTACAGTTATACCTGCGTGCTGTTTGGAAACACTTCTGCAATGAAGCATAACACAATCATGTCACAGTTTGCAATAGACATTTCAATATCAGCCCTAAAGCATTCACTAGTTTACATTCAATGTCCATACAAAATAAATTTGTGTAAATACAATGATTGAGTAGGAGAAAAAATTTATATACTACTTCATGGCTTCCGAGTTTGGTATGACTAAAGCATCAATGATCACAATTCTTTAATGAACAAGCAATGGAATTCAGTTAAATAACTAGTGTAATGGAAGAACCGTACCTGAAATGTTGCACATGCACATCACAGTATATACAGAACCACAGGTAACCATAGATTGCATTTCACAGAGCCTTCCATATAAGAGGAGTCGAGTTTTAACTTCGTCGGGTTTTCCATTAACTCACGAGGCACATTCCACCTAGGTGAAGTTTCACTGGAAGGCAGTTTGAGGCACCTCAATCAAGTTTTAATCTTTTCATTTAGGACAACGGGTATATTTGAATTTGTCAGGTATATTCCATTTTTCCCATATATATACCGAATCCTCATACTTGCTTTTTCTAAAGCATCCTCAACTCCGATTTTCTTTAAACCATAGGCGAACACTCTAAATGTAACACCATTTGGCATTACAAACTTCTCTGCCATCAAATTTAACAAGCTACAAGCTTCATTTATGTTTCCGTCCTTACAAAATCCATGTATAAGTGTATTATATATTATCCTATCGGGAGTCAAACCAGCATCGATCATTTTACCAAATAAAGCACTTGCTTCCACCATATGGCCTGCTTTGCAAAGCCCATTAAGGAGGGCACTACAAGTAACAACATCTGGCTTGAACCCCTTTTCACTCATATGACACCATATAAGAAAGGCTTCATTGAAATTTCCCTCTTTAGCAGACCCATCTATGATAGTAGTGTATGTGAACTCGTCGGGAAAGAAACCCCTTCTCACTAGCTCATCCAATAATTCTCTTGATTCTTTCTTATAACCCCTTTTGATAAGCCCATTTATCAGTATGTTATAGGTTGTAGCATCCGGTTCTATATTTGAAGAATGCATGGAGTCAAGCAGTTCAAACGCCTTATGTAAATCCCCCTTTTTGCTGTGCCCATCAATCAATGTATTATATGTGATAACATCTGGGAGAAAACCATCCTCTCGCATCCTTAAAAATATGTATTCTGCCTCTTTAATCTCCCCAGCCTTGCAATTGTAATCAATCAGAACAGTATAAGTAACAATAGATGGTTTCAATCCTTTCTTTAGCATTTCACAAAAATATCTAAGAGCTTGGCCTAGATTTCTTATTCTACAATAACCTCTAATAATGGAAGTGTAACTAAAACAATCAGGAACCAAACCAAAATCACACATTTCTCTAAAGAATTCTATAGCCTCTACCAGATCACCATCTTTGCATAGCCTAGAGACAAAACTGTTATATACAAATATGTCAGGGGCGTAACCAGAACTTTTTAAGAGATTCATGGCTTCCCACAACCTACCCACATTGCAATATCCATCTATAACTGCAGAAAATGAACGGAAATCAGGAGAAACTCCCCTAAAACTCATTTTATATAAGAGAGAATGAGCTTCTTTTATGCTACCGCTTTTGCATAGAGCTTTAATAATCATTGTATAGGCTACAACATCAGGTTTACACCCATTAATCTCCATGGCCAAAAGTAAGTTCTGTGCACTTACCAGATCACCTCTGCGACAAAATTCATAGATAAATAGACTAAAAAAAATGGTGTTCGGTTCAATCCCCAGGCTTTGCAGGTCCATAAACACTTCCCAAGCTAATTCAAACTGTTTCAAATTCAAGAGCTTACTGATAAGATTATTGTACACTCGAGTTGTGGGATAGAAACCTAGAAGCTTCATTTGGAAAGTAAATTTGAGAGCTTCATCTACCATGTTTTCCTGCAAATAACAATGAACTGCCATGCTAAACACAGTTGTAGAAGTTTCTCTATCCCTTCGAGTAGCATAGAGAGCATCAAAAATTTCATAGGGTCCTCCCCCACTTGACCCGACAAGAGAAATTAAAAATTCAGTTGCTATATGGTTAAATTTTGCAGTGACCAGAATGTTTGTCAATGTACATACGGATTGAATCTCATGAGGCCGGTTATTTTGTTTCTCTAACCATCTAAACATGTAGAGAGTTAATCGAGCATCCCAACTCTCTTCAAACACATCATCTAGAAGACGAGAAACATTCCAAGAGCTCATATCACGCCTCCACTCATCAGAACAAACTGAATTCCACCCACGTTTCCGAATAATCGAAGATATCCTCTCTGCAAAATCCACACTTTCCTTGATGGGTTTTACTTCTTGTCTTCTGAAAAACGACGAATTCTCACAAAATGTTTCCTCAGAAATCATCTGTTCTCTCTCTAAAGAACAGGGTAACCCCAAGTTTCTGATTGATATACACTTTGCAAAGTTCCTTCTCGCAGTAAATTTGAGCCTGAAACTGTGATTGAAAATTATAAAGGAAAAAGCCCCCAGGAACATCCAGCCTCTCAACGCCTACCCTTGATCCTCAACTCGGCTGATCACGGCTTCAACACAGGAATTTGAACCAAAGAGTAGACTCCTTCGACTCTTCGAGTGTCAAGGTTGGGTCTTTTTTGCAGGACTCATCGTACCCCTTGCGGACTTTAGACCCCGTATCTTCTTTTTCTCTTCTCTTTCATCCTTTATCATAGTTGTAATCTCTATTTCTTTATTTTCTTCTCTATATCCTATCTCTTCCTTTGTCTCCTGCTCGTTCTCTCTATTCTTCTCCTCTCTTTTTGTTCCTTTTGTATACTGAGCATACAATGTGCAAGTCGTCTGCTTTTCATGAAGGGAGAGAGCTCCAAAGCTGGAAAACCAGGAGAAGCAGGAGCTGACATTACTAATGTACTCTCGTCGGCACTGTGGATTTCAATGCCACGGACGCGGCCTCTGTACTTTCCTTATAGTTTGTTTTAGGGTGCGGTTTGTATCGTGCCGAGACTCTAAACAATCAGAGTAAAGCACACTTTCAAATGGTGCCGAACAAATACTGGAAATATCTGGGATAGCGTTTAAATATGTTTTCATCATTAAGTTTAAATCTCCAAAAATATTGTGGATCGAGCAGATATACGAAAATTTAAAAATCTTGAAAATTGATCATCAAAAAATAAATTATTTTCAAAACTTGAAATCCATTTGTTTTTTTATGTCCGTACATCGTGATATCAAGACATCAATTTGAAATATTTGAGCATCAAAACAACCTCTATCAAATATATTTGAGCATCAAAACAACCTCTATGAAATTTTTGAGGTGGGTTGTAATTTGATTGTTCAGAACCTCGACTCTATATAAACTTTTTCCTTTTTATTATTAATGTCGGTAATCTATTTCTTTGGCTCCTAGTTTATCAAATATTAACTCGTAGGGTCAACACAGGTTTATGCTCTCATTTGAACTTTCAAAATCACTAAAACTCTCAGCAGGTCGGTTCAAAAATTTCAAACCATATTTATGTGAACCAAAGGGTTCGGATTATGAAATTTCAAACCAATTTATTTGAAATCTACTTTTACAATCTCCTAATTTGAACCCCACTTTTCAAAAAATACAAGAAAGAGGAAGAATTGATCGAGTTAGATAGGGCAAAAGTGGGATTCATATTTGGAAATGCTAAACCCAAAATAACATTCAAAAAAAAAAAATGCTAAACCCAAAATCTAAAAAAGAAATTACTTCAAAACTTTCAAATCCAAACTTGTTAATTCAAATATATATATATATATA